TATATAGAGACTATTTCTGATTAATTTTAATAATTCTTAAGTGGTCCTTCATTTATTGGGGGGCACTGTATATATATGTTATATAGTAAATTCAAAAAATATTTTTATATTTTTATTTGTTTTTGACCAAATAAAATTTAAATATTGTACATTCCATTTTAAAAAAAAATATGATTAAATAATAGTAATCCAAGTAAAGTTTTTTTGAATTCATAATATTTTTAAAATTAGAAAAAAGATATTCACTTGGTATGGATATTGCTTGAATTGTTAAATATTCCTGAGCTATCTCAAATAAAATAGAAAAATTATTCTTTTGTGCAGTTCACCAAGTTCATGCATTAGATTCCATATTGATTTCTAAAATTTATAAATATCTTACAATTTCATTTTCAATATCTTGCATATATGATTGTATTCTTTTTTTTAAAGAATTATTTGCAAGTTCATCAACTAAAGTAATTTGCTTATTTTCAATTGAAAATGATTGGATTGTTATTAAATTTTTTTTTTTTTGCAATATATATTTCTTGTAATTTTTTATTTGTAATTTCTCAATTATATGCATTAATAAATTCAAGCTTTATATATTGTGAATTCAATAATAAATATAAAAGTTCATTTCCAGTAGGTTCATTTCAATAATATTCAAGAGTTTTATATAATGTGGTTTGCATGTTATTGTTCAAATGAATACAATCTTATGAAATATTAATATTAATTTTGTGCTTTTTGAATCCTTTGGTTTTTTCTTCAGGTATATTTTCATATTTAATATCAGAATCAAAAACAGTATCTAAAGTAGTTAAACTGATTAATTCTAGTTTATTTTGTTTTTGATTATATTTTTCTCGAAAATTAGCTTTTATTAATGCTAAAATTGTATTTAAAAATCCAATTGTTAAATATTTACTTGTTCCAAGCCAAGTAGTAGCTTCAAAAAATGAAAATAAGATTATATCAAGCTCTTTTAAAGCATCTATTCAAGATTTGTTAATATAATTAAGTTTAATCAATAAAATTCTTTTTGTGTTTGATAATCAATAGCTTGACTAAGAGTAATTTTCATAATATTAATAGCATTCTTAAGATATAAAAGTCTTGTCCATACCAAGTAAGATGAATTCCAGCAAGTATTAATATTTTGAATATCTCAAAGATATTTATAATTTTTTTAAATAATATTTTGTTCAGGTATATGAAGTAAATCTCTTTGAGCTTGTTCAAGATCTTCAGATTGTTTTGGTGCTATTAAAAATGTCAAAAGTTGTTTTGTTCAAGTTACTAATACTTGTGCTGGTATTAATCCCTTTCCAATAACCAGTTGTAAAGTATGTGCATTACATTTGATTCATGGAATATTTTTAGTATTTATTAACTCTATAGCTTTAATTATATTTTTCTATTATCTATTGTAATTGTTTTTACTTAATCACTAATATTCTATTCATCACAGATATTTTTTCCAGTATGCAGATAAGAACACAAACATTTCCAAGTATAATTTCATTTAATTTGAAATTAGAATCAATCCAGTGACAAGTAACTTCCAAATAAGCTTCACTATTATGAGCAGTCCATAAATCACATGTAAGTGAACATGAAAGAGCTGTATTTTGAAGTTTTTGTTACAAAATATCTAATGAATAATTATATGCTTGATGAATCATTTGTTTTACCATTTTATCATTAGGTAACTGATAATATGTATCGAATAAAGTGATAAATTCTTGAAATGACTTGGATTCAAGAATATATAATGGTAATGAATCATTAATTATCCAATTGACAAGTGCTTGATTTCAAATTTGTTGATGTTCAGTATCATTAAAAGTTGCTTGTTTTACAGTAATTAATTCGATTTGTTGTGCTGTTTGTGCATTGCTATCTTTAGTTATTTTATGAATACTACTTAAATGAGTCCAGAAATTGCCAGTTGATATTCCCATAGTAATACAAATATGAAAACATGTTTTTTTTTATGAGCTCATATTACTTGTTGTAAACGTCTAGCAGTCTTTTCTGATTTATCAATTATTTCCAAAAATTAAAAATACTTCTAAATTTGACTTGAAAGTTTTTTAATTTTTTCTTTGGATAAAAAATGATAATAAAACTTTATTATTTGTATCACTTTCATAATTATAGCTTAGTGTTTTATCTGATTCTTGAGAGATATCATTAGAAATGTATTCATTTTGTCATTGTTTTTTATATTGATAACTTTTTGTCATTTCTTAAATGTTTTCTAACAAATTTTCATTCATAATTCGTTTTTGCAAAGAAAATATTATATTACAATAAAATGTCTTTATTTTGTAAGTTTAAAATATAATAATTAAATAAACTATTTATATAAATGCATAAAGTAAAGTACATGTATATTAATTAAATACAAAAATTCCATTTGTAAGATAAATTACTTGAGTGTACTATACAAGATGCATCATAATGAGATTTGTATTATTTTTATTTGGATCTCTTTATTTATATTGCTTTTGCTCAAGTAAGTTTGTAAATGATCCATTCTTGCATAATAATTACTAACTCTTGATTTCTTATAGGTGCGAAACTTAATAAAAATTCTTTTTTTACTTGAATGGCTGTCAATTGCAACATAAATTTTTTTAAATACAAGTTCCTGGTATTGTCGTCACCGGCGAGTCTGTCACTAAAACGGCTCACTCTTCGTGTAATAACAATTCGAACACTTGGATTTCAGCACTAAATAAGGTAAGGCTTTAACTCTGAGGCTGCACTTCCTTTGTTAGTTCACGTCGTTCCTCTGGTTCGTTCCTTTTTCCCTCAATTTTATTAGTCTTATTTGAATCCTCTTTGGTCACCGTCATCGTTTCTTTCCATTAGAAAGACCACACAACAGGGCCTAGGATCTCTGGTCGTATTTTATCATTGAAGTTGGAACAACTATTTGCTCTTTCTGTTGCTTCTTTGTCCTTCTCAAATGAGATTAACCATTCTTCCTCATCTTTACTCATTTTCCCCTTTTTACACAAGCCTTCGATCTGCAAAGTGGCTTTTCATCCTCATCACTAGGTTTGTCGTCAATCTCGTCAGTATGTGACTTTTCGGTTTCATCATCTGAGATTGGGACCTTCCCTTGCTTTTTTGACATTGTTCCCCATCCAGAGGGTATGTCATATCCATTTCTTTTTCAGATCGAGACACATTATCATCATAATACAGAGTTTGGGCTTCATACTGATTCCTAGGTAATACTTCCTTACTGATGGCGACTTCAGCACGACCTTTTTTTTCTTTTCATACCCTTGCTAACTGGGTTAGTCTTTACTGAACAATCCTTATCATGAAGTCCCTTGATCTCGGGCTCGATGCGAACAGGTACTTCATATCTTTTTCTTGTTTCATGTGTTAATTCTTCTATACAGTTATTCAACTTTCTTACCTTGTTTAATTTTCTTTCATCAACATCTTCAATTTCCATTGCTACTTTGAATGCTTCTCCTGGGTTGGTCGCATTTGCCACGGTCGATAAAGATAACATGTCCTTTCTCAGCCCAGTCACGAGCAACTATCCTGTCACTTTTCTAGAATAGTTGTTCTCAGGGTAAAGTTTTGCGAGCAGTCTTCTGAACCTATGGGCATACTCACTCATTTTCTTGTTCTTTTCTTGCTTGAATTCTTCCAATTATTCCTTATTCTGATGCCGCTGCTCCAGCATTACGAAGAGATTTACAAACACCGGTATGAAACTTTGTTTACAGTTATCTTTATTGTTCCAAAATATGAAACGATCATGGCAGCCCTCATACCAGTCCGCCACCCTTTCTTTCTGATATTTTGCTACTCTTATTAGTTTTTCATTACTTTTTCATTATTTCATATTTGTGATCTTTTCATAAAGCATGGGTCCTCTTCTTCTTTGCTATTGAACCTGGGCATTCTAAAACCGCAGATTTTCTTTTCTTCTTCCGGGTTGGCGAAGGCATTCTTTTCTTCTCTCCAGACATATCATTGTCACGAAGCAAGAGGGATTCGCTGATCAGTTATATTGTCGATGATTTCTATCATTGTTGCCTTGATTAATAATCAAGGCAAATCACAGACTAATCACAGGTTCCGTATAATCATTCTAAAGAAGGTAATGTCTTGTTTTCTCGATGATCTCTGAATTTACTAATGATTTGCAAATATTTCCTTTCAGTTTTCTCTCCTTTTTTCTCTCTCACAAACTAACACAACATTTGTTTGTGCAATTTATCAGGGGAAAGAAACAAGCGTTCCTATCTCACAGTCACTATCAAAATGTTGTCGTCACTGGCGAGTCTGTCACTAATATTCTCACTCTTCGCGTAATGATAATCCAAATGCTTGATTTCGGCACTAAATAAGGTAAGGCTTTAACTCCGAGGCGGATTACGATTTGACTGACTTTCGCATTTGCTAATTTCTCTTGACCAGCGCTCTCTCTCTAGGCACGTCTCAAGACTACAAGTGTCACTCTCTTTACAATGCAAATGGGAACTCGGCTTCTTCTCTTAAAGGTTACTTTACTGTAGTGGTGTAGACTTAGTTTATACTTCAAGGAGTATATTCATAGGAATTTTTAAAATAACATTTCCAGATAATTCAATATCAAATCAACACTTCTCCAATGGCCGTTAGTTCAGCCCTTTTCTAATTGGACACTAGGGAGTAAGTAATCAAGGATAATAATTTTAAAATAACAAGTTACCAACTAATTTAACATTAAATTAAACATTAAATGACAGGATCAATGCGATGCTAACAAATAATATGCATTGACTTAAGTTTCGGTTCCCGTGTATGCTTAATTAAATTTTTATTCGGTTTGCAAACAATAAGTCATTATTAATTTTTTGTTCATCTGTCATTGTTTGGATTGACTTTTTTTCGCTTATTAGTGAAATTAAAAAGAGCTAGAGGCAAGTTCAACAAGCAAATTCTCAACCAGATCATTATATACCTCACCTGTTATGTTTAAAAAGTCAAATTGAAATAAATAGTATTTTTTTAATATTCATATTTATTTCAATTACATAATTTCCATAATACAGTAATTCGGAAAATTTATACGAATAATATCCGAATAATTAAATCAATTCGTATATAATATCTGTAAAAGTTTTTTAATATCTGAATACTCAGATATCTGCAAGTATTCGGATTAAAACTCCCACGGATCCGAACACTATTACTTTACAAGTTTGTAATCAATACCGGAAAATACTTGCAGATGTACACTATAGAGAGGTATACAATATATTAGATTTAATACTATTTAGTTTTGTATTGTTCACGATATTTTTACTTATTTCTTTATTATAGGAAGAGAATCTTTATCAACTTCAGCATAGAGCCAATGCAGAAAAGAGTGTTGTGGAATTTGATACCAAAATTGGGCAAAAGCGGGTAGATGACCCTGACCATCAAAACAAGAGAAGACGTCGTGAGGCCAATCCTCTGGAAAAACATTTGATTACGATAATGTCAAAAGGTTAGTGATAATATAAGTCAATATTATTATCTATCTTTATTGACTATCCATCTTGTCTGGCCGAGTAGATTAGAGCGACCCAAATTAATCCTGATAAAACCCACCATTTTAATATAATTTCCGAATGTTCTGTTTGAATCAAAATGATTTTTATTTTTGTACGACCTTGAATTATCGGTGTAACGTGCAGTATATTGCATAAGGCGTAACATTGCATTTGCATCGCTATCGCTCTTATTACAGCATATTATTAACTTTCGTTAATTATGGATTTTACCGAAAGAATGATTAAAACAGCAATAGGTGATGTTTATTAATTAGTTGAAGTTTTCATTAACATTTGTTGAGATTTGTGGCAAGGTGTTTTAATTGATCCGAGTTATATTCTTTAATTTAACTACAATTACAGACGGTAAGTATATTTTTATTAATATTCGTTGAGTAAATTTATATAATGGTTAATTTAATTGATATGAGTTATATTCTTTACTTTTAGGAGGTGGGCATATTTTCATTAATATTAGTTGATATATTAGGTGGTTTGGTTGATCAGAGTTATATTATTTACTTTAACTACGATTATAGACGGTATGTTTTTATTAATATTTTTTGAGTAAATTCATATTATAGGTGGTTTAATTGATCTGAGTTATATTCTTTACTTTTAGCTCGTAAGCATATTTTCATTAATATTTGTTGAGTAAATTCATATACTGTACTCGGTGGTTTAATTAATCTGAGTTATATTCTTTACTTTTAGCTCGTAAGCATATTTTCATTAATATTTGTTGAGTAAATTTATAATATAGGTGGTTTTATTGATCTGAGTTAATCTTTACTTTAATTACAATTACAGACCGTAAGCATATTTTCATTAATATTTGTTGAGTAAATTCATATAATAGGTGGTTTAATTGATCTGAGTTGTATTTTTACTTTAATTATGATTATAGTCGGTAAGTATATTAAATATTTGTCGAGTAAATTCATATCATAGATGGTTTAATTGATCTGAATTATATTTTTTACTTTAACTGCGATTACAGACTGCAAGCATATTTTCATAATATTCATTGTTAAATTCATATCTTTGGTGGTTTAATTTATCTGAGTTATATTTTTTACTTTAACTACGATTACAGACGGTAAGCATATTTTCATTAATATTTGTTGAGTAAATTC